TTCCATGCATGCAAACAGATATTTGGTGACCAAAGCTTTTACTACTTCTGCGATTTCCTGCTGCGAACTCTGCAGCTTATTGGCAACCAGAAAAGAGGGCAAAAGCTTCAAAACACAACCCAAACCTCGTCAAATCATCTACCACTATCATTGTTACTAGCTTAAGCATGACTAAACTAGATTTGTGGGCGGTTACGGGAAGAAATGAATGCAGCAAAACATGAGAATGAATGCGGCAGCTTTTTCTACTTCGGCCTAGATATGTTTGTGCGTGAGAACTCAAACAAACTCTACGAATTTGACCGCCCAAACCGAAATGCAAAGATTTCAACCCAATGTCATTAACATCACCCAAATACAATCATCTATCCTTCCTCGTAACTGGTTTTAGGTTTCTGCAATTTTCTTATTTGCGTAGCCTCAACCCGTGAAACAGTCACACCAAAACCTTTGTAGCTTCAGATCAGAACATGTAACTTCATCATTAATTATTTAGACATCAGATTTCAGCTAGCACAATAGATGACCAAAACCAGTTTTTTTGTGGGCTATTGCGGGAAGGAGAAAAAACAACAAAAACATGACCATGAAATGCAGCTTTTCTCGCTTCAAACAAGAATTCCAGATTACCATTTTTAACAAAATCCGATGATAAAGCATTGCATGGGCGAGATTAAGGCAAGAAAGATGACCCAAAGCTCAAAGTTGTAGCTTTCTACCCGTTTTGTTAATTATCATCCAAATGCAATGGTTTAATCACGGAAATTCCAATAATGGAACTGAACGTAAAAGGCCGCAAAAGGACCTAAGCTTGGAGCGGCCAACATTTCAGCATTTACATGGTAATGTCTGCTGCTTTAACAAACCAGAAAAACTCGCAACAAGCAACCAAGGAAAGTTTGAAACAAACTAAGCACTTTTTTTTTTACCACCAACACTATCACAAGGCTGACCATGCAAACAAAGAGAACTATAACAGGGAGAGGCCAACAACATGCATTTTTCAAAACATTTCACGGAGCCCAGGCTAGGAGTTCATCTTATTTACCAGTTTTTCCAAACATAAAACAAAAGGAATGTAAGCATTATTCTCAAGAAAACAAAGTAGACATCACTCATCCTCACGGCAAAACACCAAACGAAGGTTTCACAGATTTCTCCATTCCAAGGAAGTCACGGTTAGTCTTACAATTATCAGAAAACCCAGAAAACTTCCACCCACTCAAATAAAACAGTAATTTTTCAGAAAAACGTAGAAAAATCACCAAGAAACTGCGATAAAAACATGACAGAGAGCCTCAAGCATCCATACTTAAAAACTGAAATTTGAAGGCAGAAAAATAGCTTACAAAGTTGTACAGATGATGATGGTGAATACGTGAGCTTGAGAACCGCTGCACTTCCTTGCTGATTCTCAAAAAACAGCACCAGATCTGCTTCCTCCTCTGGTTTTCCTTCTTCGTAGCTTTACCCAAATTGTTCTCCACCCGAAGCTCTTTCGGCCTCTCTATCTGTTGCAGATTCTAGCCGTCACTCCCTCTTCTGTTTCCCTCAGGTTTAGTCTCAACCAAAACCTCTCCTTTCCTGCTATGTTTTCTTCAATTCGTTCCTGTTTCACGCTCAAAGCTGCACTTTTCTTTTTGCCTCTCAAAAGAACCCCCTTTTTCAGTTTTCCTTTCTCCTCTTTTTCTCTCTAACTCCGCCGCCGCACCTCTATCTTCCTTCCCCTCTCGCTCCTCTAAACCCTTAGCTCCCTCTTTATATCAGACTCCAACCCTAAAAACCTCATCTCGATGGTTCATAAACAGCTTCAGGTCACCGTTTCTCTCTCAGCCATCGGATTGGCCTCAACTTCTAAATTGTTCTTTGGCTTGTCGATGAAAGCCAGGTGTAACAGTACTAACATGATCGAAGGGAGCTAAAAAAACAAGGAAAATAGTTGAAAAAACGCAGCTGCAATTTTCTTCTGCTGCGGCTGAAACCAAACGTGGTTTTTCCTTTTTTTTCCTTTTTTTTTCAATTACTTAATTAAATAACAATAACAATTTAAACAAACTTAAATAAAATGTACAAAATTAGTAACCAAAAGATAAAAAATAAAAAGCTACGATTTTCTCTTTTTCTTCTTTTTTCTCTTTTTTTCAATAAAAAGAAATAAAACATATTTTTCCCTAATTTTCTCTTTTTTTGGCAAAAATTTATGCTAAAAAGTCTTATAAAAAAATAAAATAAATAGCTAAGAGGGCAAAAATGAATGCAAAATACAACTAAAAATAAAATAAAATAAAAATAATAGATAATAATAATCTAAAAAATACTAAATGCTATATAAATGCTAAAATTCTAAGAACTAAAAATCATGGAATAAAATAAAAATAAAAAAAAATAGGATAAAAATTATTTTTAAAATTTGGTGTCTACACAGATTTTTCCTCCCTAAAACTCTCCTCACTCTCTATTGGTTTTCCTCTTGGTCGAAAGCTTCTCATTTTCTACGCTACTCTACCTTCCCTCAGATTTTCCAACCGTCACTTTCATTCTCGCCTTCTTCCCTCAGCCCCTTTTCCCTTTGTTGCTTTTCTAAAACCTATTCGTCACCCCAGATTCCCCCCTCTCCCCATTTCTTGCCGTCTCTCTTTCCTTTTATATGGCCCCAGAAACTAAACCCTCTCAACGATGGTTTGGATGAAGCCAGCAGTATTTTGGGGAACCATCTGATGGTTCTTGATACTCAACCATTGAGATTTTTAGATTAAGCTAGATGGTTTGTACTATGACGATCGAACGGAGCCAAAACCCAAGGCAAATAGCCGAGAAATGCAGCTGCAATTCCTTTCTGCTGCAGCCGAAACCAAAAACGTGGACTTTTCCCTTTTTTTTTTAATCACTTAATTAAACAACAATAACACAAAATAACAATTTAAGCAAAAAACTTGAATAAAATGTACAAAACTAGTAACAAAAGATGAAACAAAAGATGATTTTTCCTCTCTTTTTTCAATTAATGAACAGTAAAAGGAAATAAAACATATTATTTTTGTGAATAATTTCCTCTTTTGACAAATTTTATGCTAAAAAGTCTTACAATAAAAAATAAACAGCTAAAAGGAAAAACGAATACAAAAATAAAACAATAGATAATAATAATCTAAAATACTATACAAAATGCTAAAAAAGTTTAAAACCAAAATCATGAAATTAACAAATAAAAATAGATAAGAATTATCACAAAAAACAAAAAAACAAAAAATAAAAAATAGAATAAAAAATATTTAAAAATTTGGTGTCTACACTCTCAAGGTAGGGCTTCCACTCACAAACGGATTCCAACAGATCCCACTCCTTAATCATTAACCCCGCTACTTGAGCCTTCCGGCTTAAGGCATCCGCCACCACGTTGGCTTTCCCCGGATGATAGTTGATAGTGCAGTCATAGTCCTCCAGAAATTCCATCCATCGTCGCTGCCTCATATTCAACTCCTTTTGCGAGAAGAGGTATCAAGACTCTTATGGTCTGAGTAAACCTCGAAAGTTACCCCGTATAGATAGTGTCTCCACTTTTTCAGAGCGAAAACAACTACAGCTAACTCCAGATCATGGGTTGGGTAGTTCTGCTCGTGGGGTTTCAATTTCCTAGAGGCAAAAGATATCACATGCCGATTTTGCATTAATACACACCCCAAACCTTCCCGCGAGGCATCAGTATAAATGGTAAAACCGTCTATTCCGTTTGGCAAAACTAGAATCGGTGCCATGGTTAATCTTTTCTTTAGCTCTCGAAAGCTCGCTTCACACTTGGCATCCCACGTAAAATGACCATATTTCTTCGTCAGATCGGTTAATGGACCGACCAGTCTGGAAAAGTCCTTAATGAAACGCCTATAGTACCCAGCCAATCCTAGGAAACTACGGACCTCCGTGGGGTTTTTGGCCTCTTCCAATCTGTCACGGCCTCTACCTTTGCTGGGTCAACCGAGATCCCCTCCTGGGAAATTACGTGCCCTAAGAAAGAAATTTTCTCGAGCCAAAACTCGCACTTACTAAATTTGGCATACAACTGATGCTCTCTTAGGGTTTGTAAAACGATTCTTAGGTGCTGTTCATGCTCCTCACGAGTCTTGGAGTACACCAAGATGTCGTCAAAAAAGACAACGACAAATCGATCCAGGTAGGGCTTAAAAACCCTATGCATCAGATCCATGAAGGCGGCAGGGGTATTGGTTAGTCCGAAGGGCATGACTGCGAATTCATAGTGCCCATATCTCGAATTGAAAGCAGTTTTCGGGATATCTTCTTTCCTAATCAACAATTGGTAATACCCCTGTCAAAGATCTAATTTCGAGAAGACCACGGCTCCCTGCAACTGGTCGAATAACTCATCAATATGGGGCAATGGATACTTATTTTTAATCGTCACATTGTTCAGCCCCCGGTAGTCGATACACATACGCAGACTCCCGTCCTTTTTCTTCACGAATAACATAGGGGCTCCCCAGGGAGACCCACTCTCATGAATGAAACCCCGTTCCAAAAGGTCTTGTAACTGCAATTTCAACTCCCTAAGCTTAGCAGGTGCCATCCGATACGGGGTTTTTGAGATAGGTGACGTTCCAGGTAACAAGTCAATTTTGAACTCTATCTCTCTCTCTGGAGGTAGGGCTACTAACTCATCAGGGAATACATCTGGATATTCCTTTACTATGTGTACATCCTCTATCTTCAATTTATCAGTGGGGGTATTGATTAGAAAGGCTAAGAACCCTTGTGCCCCTCTACTTAAGCAGTTTTCTAGCCCGAATGCCCGAGATCAAGGCCGATGAGGCTAACTTTCTCCTTATATCTAACCTTAAGGTCGCTTCCCCAGGAATGTGAAACTCTACCACCTTCTTCTTACAATCTAATTGAGCATTATACTTGGCTAACCAGTCCATGCCCAAGATTACATCGTACCCCTTAATGGACAAGCTTATCAAATCCCCTAGCAATTTTCTCTCTTCTACCTAAACCTCGCAGTCCTTATAAACCATGCTAGTGATCAAACGATGGTCCCCAGTGGGGGTACTAACTTCTAGGTCATAAGGTAAACTAGCAGGGTTGATATCAATATCACACATGAAATTAGGGTTAACAAAGGAATGGGTGGCACCGAGATCTACTAAGACCTTCGTAAATCGGTGAAATACAGGGATCGTACCTTCTATGACCTCGGAAGAGTCTGAGACCTGCTGTGGCTCTAGTGAGTACACTCGAGCCGGCACCTTGAGTTTAGTCCCTTCTCTCTTAGTTGGTCCAGAATTGGTTCTCGGCGGTTGTTGGCTTCGCTTTCCATCTTGCTTTAGAACTGGGCAAGTGGCAAGTTGGTGGTCTGCGCTTCCGCAGCGTAAACATTTCCCTTCTTTCCTCCAGCAATTGTCTTCTGTGTGGTTTGACTTCCCACAATGCCCACAGGGACCGCGAGATACAGAAACTGAGCCCCCCTGGAAATTTCCTCTTTGGCCTCGCCCAGCTTGGCCATCTTTGGACTGAGCCCCTCTCGCTACTCCCGGCTGCCTTCCACCTCCGGTTTCCCATCCAAACTTGGAAGGGGTACTCTTATCACCCTGTCCAGAACCGCTACCAGGAAATCCTCGCTTTTTAGCTTGGAAGTTCCTCACTTGGAGCCTGGCGCTTTCCACTCGTTTTGCCTTCTCTACTGCATCGCTGAAAGCGTTAATTTGGACTACGGCTAGATCCTTCTAGATCTCCACGTTCAGACCCTGGACGAATCGCTGTATTCTTCGTTGATCTGTCACGATGAGTTCGGGCGTGAATTTGGACAGCCGAGTGAATTGGCTCTCGTACTCGGCCACTGTCCGGGTCCCTGAACTAGAGGGGGAAAGAATTTAGCATTGAACTCCCGCATAAAATTCACCAAGGTCCTGCGGCTTTTCTCTCGGTCCCAATTTTGTCGTATTACGTTCCACCAGGAACGAACCACCCATTCCAGTTGGAAGACAACAAAAGTCACCTGCCTTTCCTCCGTGTAGTGCAAGGCAGCAAAGATATCCACCATTTTCTCTAGCCACCTTTCGACTACATCTGGATTGGGTCCCTGTGACGTCCCGAAAAGAATGAGTGCGAGAACCCGAAAATTTTCTAATTTTCTAGGGTTTCTTTTATTTAATCGCCCGCCTTTTCTACAGTTTCTTTATTAGAAAAATTCCCCAGATAAAGTTTATGAGCAAAGATAGTTTTAAAATGATTTTTCTAGTATCGGTTAGTTTTTGAGAAATTAAGAGTGTACATCGAACGTGGGACCCACTAGTGCGAAAATGTTCGGAAAAATTCGGCCAACTAGGTTAAGTTTTGGATACTGGATTTAATTTACCGGGTGTTAAGAGATAAGTAGAGGATGCTAAGTGGATTGGTATAAGAGAGACAAAAGTTAGGCAAGCATTAATGAAGGTGACAAGTGTCACCATGGGATTTGGTCTTAAGTAAGACCACTATTCACCTTTTGTCTAATTGACCAAATAAATCACAAAAATCACCAAAAATTCACCATTTTTCTCTTCATCTTGGCCGGCCCTCTCTCTCAAGAAGAAAGAAAGAAACTCTCCAAGTTCTTGATTCCATCTTGCTCCAAATCATCAAAACAACCACTTAATCTTACTTTTGTTCCATAGAAAACCTTAAGTGAGTGTTTGTGTGGGGTTTGGTGGAGTTGTTTGGAAAGTTAAGAGGACTTGTTGCTCTCTCTCTCTTGTTTCTAAGGTGAGTTATGAAGAACCACTCTCCTCCCTCTAATGATGCTTAATTTATGCTTACTGGTGGTATAAGATGCAACTTTATGGATTATATTGTGATTTGTGGTTGAAGTGATGAAGTTTTATTATTTTTGGGGATTTTTCTGTTTTAATATGAGCATGATTGTGTGGCTATCTATGATGATTGGAAATGGTATATAATGACTCTAGAAGGTGGAAAAACTGGATAATTGCAACCAATTTCTGTTTTGGAAGAAATTTTTGGAAAGTTAGGGTTCTAATGGATACATTCCGCCCGAATTTATAGCTCCTAGTTAGAGGCCGAATTGGCCTTGGCTTAAAACATAAAAGTTGTAGGGAATGATATTTTAGAGGTGCCTACAAAATTTCAGGTCCATCAGAGTAGTGTAGAATGAGAAAAGTCGAAATTACCCTTGCTGTCCTGGTTTTACCCGAATGTAAGAATTGGGCCTGTAATTGGTTGTTTTGGCTGGAATTCCTTCCGAATTGGTTGTTGAAGCCTTCTGATGAAATGTAGCCCGAAAACTTTTGAAAACGTTCGAGAGCTCTATCCTCGCTCTCGACGTGGTTACCAGGGTTCCCGGGGTTAGGGTTTGGGTTTTGGCCCTGTTGTTGTACTACTTGTGCTAGTAGGTTTGTCATTTGCTGCATAGCGGCAGCTATCTGCACATTGGGGTCTATTTGGGATTCAGGATTGGGTCCAGTAGAGGTTTCCCCCGTTTCCCTAACCGGCGTGGGTTGTCTAGTTCCGCGCCCACGTCCCCGACCACTTCGTGTTCCTTCCATAAGTTTCACTCGGTCTAGGCAAGAATGCTAAACCAAAATAAGCACGATGCATGTAAGTAACACTCAAAACTTTTATGATAACTCACAGTTATACATTCCAAACAAGATCAACACATATATACAAGCCGGTCAAAATTAGGCCGCACACATACATACAGCCAGTTAAGTCAAGTACAAACATAGACGATCCACCGAGGAATGGCCTTTCTAGTTCACCAAATCCTTTCTAACCTAGGCCCTCATATCTTTCGTATCCGAGCGCAAGAATCCCATCTAAGATAATTCACAACTCGAGCCGGCCGGTCCCAAGAGTAAACCATCCTTATTAAAGATTCCTACCCGACATACATACCTAGCTTCCTCGAGTCCTATGATAATGATTCGTACACTTATCACATGCCCGGTTCATAACTTACGCTCAAACGAGCACTTAGACATATTCATGAAATTAGGACCACAACATCACTTGGCCCAGTCTCACTCCGCGCAGAGACCACGCGAAGTGGCTCTGATACCACTTGTGACAGCCCCACTTTCCCCTAAGGCGAACCAAAGGGGTTAGCGGACTGCCTGCCCAACTCTCGCCAGGACTACGGATCAGATTAGAGCTATCCGCTTCAATCCGGAACTTACAAACTCGCGTAAACAAATCAAAATAGTAAAACAACCCAAGATAAAATGAAATGAAATCCGGAGCCGGCCATGAATAGTAACCGACCCATCAAAACCCAACTGAAATAGCTAACAAACATTTACATCTGAACTTTAGCGTTTACAAATCAAAATGACATACAAAAGCTTTCAAAAGATAATACATATACACGGTTTGCCAAATCAAAAGAGAAACGCCCCAAAAGTACACTTAGGGTTTTAATACATGAGCTATACAAAAGATATGTTCAACTAGCTCAAGTCGGCAACCGATTATCAAATCCAGTCCAAAAGTATTTATTTTTCCTGTAAGGAAAACAAAAGGAACAGAACGGGGTGAGCTTGCGCTCAATGAGGTACCAAACATATAGCAATAAAATCATGGCATTTCACGTTTAGCAAATCAAATCAAGTACACATGCCAGATATAAAGCAAAAGAAGCAATGATTCAAATCAGAAGGATACGGGTGGCTCTCAGGAGCCAAATTTCCAGTGCAGTGCTTGATCTAAACCGGTTGACTCTCCGTCAACGCATATAGAACCAACGCGTCCGTAGACCCCTCTTTACACCGAATTCCGTCCACCAAACACCCCTTTACCGGGCCCGCTCACCTCAACCGAACAGAAATGGTAATACTCGAGTATAGCGGAATCAAGGGTCTCAATACCCAAAATCCCCGAACAGACTACCGTGGTTCGTTATCTAATCGTCCAGGCCCTTGCCGGCCCGACTCGAATAACTTAGCCACAGGATTGAGCTCATAGGTCATAGAAATCCGAACAGATGCAGACACAGATAACAGATTCAGATACAGATACAGAATAGCAGATTCAGATAGCAGATTCAGACGGCAGATTCAGATAGGCACTCAAAACTGGCATATTGACAGACAAGAGAACGAGTGTGATAAAGTACACCCTCGTCTCAAACAAATTAAACAAATTGCAGAGCAGAAATCAAGTTAAACAGCAATGGAGGGGAGTGGTACACTCACCGGCTCAACTTCAAAAGTTTTCACTTCAGATTGGCCTTAATCGCCAAGAAACCCTAAAATAACCAAAATAAACCAATTGAAGGTTTTACTTCCAGAATCGAGTAAACAGAATGCACATGTGAGGCTCGACTACACGTCGTACGCCTTGCCAAATAAATACTAGTGCAGGAATGCAAAAACACGATTCCCTTGGAAACGAAAAGGTAGCATGAAGACCTAGGCGCAAACAACCCAAAAGCCCTTTCATTTCTACCAAAAGGCAAATCCAACTTAAAAGAACCAAACGGCCTAGAAAATCGGGCAGCACTTCCCCTAAATTTCTTACTTTTCCAGCCATTAAGGCTTCATTATTTCCTCAAATCAGCCCCAACATTTCACACCAAAGGTCATCTCATTTCCCAAAAGCCGTACAGGGCTCAAAGTGGTACAAGTACAAAAGTTAGCTAGGAAACAACCAAAATGAAAGCAAGCCCTAAGAGAGACTCGACGACGAGTCATAAAAAAATGCTGAACACAACCCCAATAGGGTCTCATATGCATAAATAAGCATGATAGCAAACCAGAAATTAGAAATAGCATTAGTCTTGGCCCCAAATAGAAAAACTGTTTTGCCCTTATTTTGCGGTAATGGCGTCAAATTCACTACGATTATCGGATGGGGGTGTAAGACCCACCGTTTCGAATCCAAGAAACAGAAATACGACAATGTAGAAGGTCACTCAATCCAGTTCCTAACACAACTAGGTCAAATATGCAAAATACTATACCAGAATTCCCAAAACAGGTTTGCAAATCACACAAAACTGTAATTACTATAACTCAGTCTATACAAGTCCAAATGCCGAAATTCCAAAGGCATATGATAGCTAAGACATCCAGTAACATTTCATCAGAATACACCAACTTCAAAATCCAAACCAAATCCAGTCAAAATAGGCAATTACTATCGCAGTTCCGCACATTCTGTTCACCAAAAACAGCAACAGTAAAAACGGCATAACTCTCTCTATAGTACTCCAAATGCCCTGAAATTTTGTAGACACTTCATACTCACCAATACCTACAACTTTTATGTTTTGAGTAAAGTCCAATTCGGCCGCTAGCTATGACCTAAAATTTCGGACAGAATAGGGGTTCATGAACCCTAACTTTTCACAATTCACTTCAAATCCAAAATTGGTTGCATTTATCAACAATTCACACCCACTAGAGTCAAAGCCCCTTATTACCAACCATCAAAAACAACCATACCATCAAAATCATATGAAACCAGAAAATTCATCATAAAATGGAAAATTTCACTAAATCAAGCCAAACCAAGAAATAAATCATATATTCCAACACTCAAGCCACTTCTAAGCATACTATAACCATCATTAGGTGTAGTAGAGGTTCAAGCATCACTTACCAAGTATCAAGAGATGTAGAGAGGTGTTGGCCACCTTAGAGCTTCAAACAAACTTCACTAATACCCTTACTATCACTACAAGGAAAGATTGTATGGAGTAAAAACTAAGTTAAACACTTGATTTGGTGGATTTGGACAAGTTGGAAGCTTGAAATGTTGAAGAATTTTCTTCCTTCTTGCAAGTGAGAGGTTCGGCCACAATGAGAAGAAAAATGGTGAATTTTGTGATTTTTTTGAGATATATAATCCTTTGGTCAAAAAAGTCAAAAATATGAATAGTATTTCTTAAGTCAACTCCAATGATCTTGTGACACTTGTCACTATCATAAATGCATTCCTATCCTTTCTTTTCTCTCTCTCATCAATCAAATCTCACTCTCTACTTATCTCTTAACACCCGATAAATTTTTCACAGTATCCGAAACTTAACCTTATTGGCCGAAT